GTCAAATAGTTGAGATCTAAAAATCTTATAATTAAAAGCATTATCTACGACTGATAAGCCACTAACTAACTTTATATTTAATTCTAAACTACAATGAAAACGACCAGAACTTAACATTTTAAAAATAATAACAAGAGATGATTTTGTAATCTCAATACACATTTGAATAATAAGTTATCTTAAATTGAGATAACAAGTAATGAATGATTTCAATACACTGATTTATACATAAATTATCATCAGGTGGGTTTTGTGGATATTATAGCGAAATCAACGGTTAAGATCATGAGCCAGTTGAAGCTAGACCACCATGGAAAACCTGGAATTACTGGTCTAGTGATTAAGTGCTCGCGCGCGTAACCATTAGGTCCTGGGTTCGAATGTCGCGGGGGGCGAGGTTGTGAACGCGCACTGCTGAGGGGTCCCACAATAGGACGAAGCGGTTATTCAGTGCTTCCAAGTTTTTCATAGTGGTCTAGCTTCGATTGACTTATGATCTTAACCATTGAAATTACATAAATTATCGTTTACATTAGTTTCTTGTTTAAAAAAAGAGCAATATATGCATCTGTTTCACTAACTTGTATAACTTGCAAAAGTAAGTGCCATGTACAACGACAACATGGAAGAATTAACACATGATTATACATTAATATTACTATGACGAAATTTTGTATTGTATGAATTCGTTTTACAAGTCTTAATCAATCATGACTTTTTTCCTACTTTATAAAAACAGACTGTTTTTTAACTAGTAGTTATATTACATGGGACTAAATGACAATTGGTAAATAGTAAATACCAGAAGGAGTTTTGTGGAGAGTTTAGAAATTTCACTGGTTGAAATCATGAGTCAATTGAAGCTAGATCACCATGGAAAACCTAGAAGCGCTGGACGGCCGTTTCGTCCCATTGTTGGACTCCTCAGCGATGCGCATCCACGGTCCCGCACGCCGCGAGATTCGAACGCAGGACCTATCAGTCTCGTGTGTACGGTGGCGCAACTTCGTGGATTGTTTGAAGTTAGACATTAACACCGTTGGATGCCGGCTCAGTGGTCTGGTTGGTTAAGCGCCTGGCGCGAGACTGATAGGTCCTTGGTTCGAGCCTCGCGGGGTGCGGGATCGTGGATGCGCATTGCTGAGGAGTCCAACAATGGGACGAAACGGCCGTCCAGTGCTTCTAGGTTTTCCATGGTGGTCTAGCTTCAATTGACTCATGATTTCAACCAGTGAAATAGAAACTAATCTGTTTTAAAAAGTTTCAGATAAATATTTTGCTTAAAATAAGATATACATGTTTTACAACAACAACAACAACAAAAAGAAAAAGTTTCGACAGACCTGATGACTCAGATCAATAACTAAACTAAAAAAATACCTAGTTACCTAATTATTTGAAAGAATTAGTGAGTTAATGAGTATAAGAGTCCTAATTTACTAACCAAAGTTTAAATTCTAGTTACATTTTTCATATTTCAGTTTGGGCAGATAGGTCATCATAATGATTAAGCGCAATGTAGAACCTGATACATATGTGTATCAGTTCAAAGTTGTCATGCCACATTAGTATAATGAGATAGAATTATTTTAAGACAAACCACAGAGTAGTAGAAAAGATTAGGTATAGAAAAATAGAATAAAGTATAAAGAGATTTCAGGACTCAAGTTCTAAAAAGTAAAAACTGTGGGGTGTGCTACTCATATTCACATAAGTAGTACATAACGCGAGTCAGGAATGTAATGTCTGGCGGCAGAAGATTGGGAATATCAATAAAGGATGAACAGGAATAGAAAGCAATTAGTATAGTAATGCAAGAATAATGAAGTTCGAGACAATTATTGAACATTTTCCAAATTAGGTATTATATTATGGTTTTTCTATTTTACCAAGTAACTCTGTAATGTTATGCTAAACATAATTCGGTTGTCCTCGCCGGTGTTTTCCTTCACTACAAGTGTACCTGTGCCACAGTGAACGATTCTAAGCCATGTCATTCAAACCTTCAAACCATTGGTTGAGATAATCACGCAGACCCCAAAAAGTAGTCTACACCTATTAAGGTGATTTATTCCGATTGTCAATAACTTCATGAAATTGTCACATCTTGGATTGGCTGCCCCTAATTTTCTTCTAGCCTACTCTTACCCTAGACAGTATTAGCGATCGAGATAGGCAGTGGCTAGGTACACGCAGTACATGCCACAACCACTTCAGCTGAAGACCCACCACCATATCAATTCATCTTCCATCTTTACTTAGTACCTAGAAGCTTCCAGGCTTTTAATGGTGGTTCAACTTAGGTCGGTTCATGATTTTAATTAATTCCAACAATCTCCACAACCCCACAGTGAAGAATATCTAATTTTCATTGCATATATTTTATTAATTACTTATCTATGTCACCTAGGTAACACAAAACATTGATACTCAGTTTTAAAGATTCTTACTCTTATGTAGCTAGAAGTAATGATTAGCCAACAACTAGTGTCAATTAACTAATTTTCCATTTGTTGTGTTAAAAACTGGTTACTATATTGTTAAACTGATTCACTACCATATACTCCCTGATATTGCTTTTAAACTGAATCATAAAGCCAATAATGTAGAACCTTGATGAAGAACTAATTGAGAGAAAAAACATTTCTTAGCTCAACTTTTATTTTTATATGTAAATAATAAGGCAAAGTACATTGACCATTGTTTCATCCATTCAGAACAAACATGATCCAACCGTGTAAAAAATAAACTACAATCAATTATTTCCCGATGATTAAAACCAGTATGTGAGAATTATATTCAGTTGTAAGAACGATTAATATCTTACTCAATTTAATTGATAACACTGGACAATTATATTTGAAGTCTTCTAGAGTTAACCCGTAAAAACCACTGGGATTAACTAAGTTAAAGTTAGTTATCATTTTTAAAACTTTACTAAGACCAAAAGGATTAGTTCTAATGTTACAATGAGTAAGTGGGTAATAAAAAAGTAGATTGACGTCGATCAGATTCTTTTTAAAACGATCTAACGATTGTTCCAGTCTTTGGTTTGACAGTGGCTCGCTAATATGACTTTTTACGACATTGGTTGATTGATTAGTGTGAAACGTTTGACTGTGGTCAACCTAAACAACTATCTAGAGCTACTTGTCGATGCTTTCTCTTGCAACTCTTTTGCTTCTATTTATTTATTTATCTATTTGAACACATGAATATTGGTACAATAAGGCACCAAATATATATGCGCCACACAAAACAATCAGAATTCGAGCAGAAAAAAAGAAGGTAAGGAGCGTAAAAAGAAAAAAGAGCAATAACGAACAGACCAGTGTAAGGTATTATAATAGTAATGAAAATAATGATGATAATAATAATAATAATAATAACAATAATGGGGGAAACGGAAAGGTGCAATCAGAAGAAATCTTCAAGTTAAGGAAGAAACAACTACTTTTTATGAATTAAAAGAAAGTTACAGCAGGATCGCCACTGGCTCATATTCTGAGCCATATCTGATAACGTCTCTAGCCACTGTGTTGCACCATCTCTCGGACCTCAGCCAGGGAGTCGTGAAGGTCCAACACAGGCCAGCCTTTTGCAGCTTTCTTTCATACCACGACACCATGTCATACAATGACCACCTCTTCGCTTTTTCCAACCAGTCCCAGCGTCGGCAAACAATGCCGAAGGTAGTGGGACACCGATATCAGTAAAACCAGATAGTCATAGGCAAGGTAAAACTCAGTACATGTATGTCCAGTTTACGTAGAAATGCCTCATTAGCAAGACGTGATGAAATTGTCGACGTGAATTCCAGAATAGTAGAGATAGTCAAAGTATAATTGGTAACAGAAAAGGTTGGGCATACAAAATACGGATCCATGTAGTAAAAAGGTTGACTAGGTAGTTTTGAATTTAAGATCTAAGGGAAGAAAAAATGAGTTCACTTTCTCCATTGCGAGCGATTCTGAACAATGTCATCTAAGGTCTCTGACCGCCGCCTACGATAGACATTTGGACACAAACTAGCTACTTTGCATTTACATACATGGTTCAGTACAATGTTAGTTGACTTCATAAACTGGTGCCATTTTTTTAAACTTGACTGATTTTAGCTTTTTTCAACCTACTTCTATACCGGCCATCATCGCGCTTTGGTGTGGGCGGTAGATGAGCATGCTTAACACATGTCCCAATCACCTCAGTTGATAAACACTCAATACTTCGCTAACTGATTCGCCACTCATACCTAATAATCACAGAGTTGCTAACTTAATAGTTCCAACATATAAGAGTAATCCCTAGGTATGTATTATGATCGAGTAATTGTAACTTACGAATACCCTATTTAAAAAACCAACCTTTACAACCATAAAGTATATGCAAAACGGAATAGAAAGTTAAAGCAAAGCTAAAAAGTCCATTTATACTAGTCATTGAATTTCTCTTCGGTAGGTAGGTTAAGCGAATGGAGTACTTTATAATTGTTTATCAACATGTCTGATACACTGCCTTAACGAATAGTTAAGGCACTTTGCTTTCAACTAATAAATTGTATTTTCAAACCTGACAATCTGGAATATTCACTAGCCCCTATAGTGCACAAAAATGTAATTGTTAAGTTACATGACTATCAGATGTGCAAATGATAGACAAAACGCAAAAAGCATGCATTTGCGATTGTAGAGTCATGATTAAACTTTTTCAAGGCGTTCAACGAAAAAACATATACGATACTAGGTAAGAAACAGTAGCTAAATGTGAAAGACAACTCAGAATTGGAGTGTTCAAATCATGAGTAACATTGATATTCTTTGAACATTATTTTGAGTTATAGGGAAACTTGATATCAAGACTGAGCAGACTATACCAACGATATTAAGACACACTCGTTTGATTAAAATTTGGATAAAGTAGTCTGCTTACTGCTATATGATATTATGCGAGGTCGCAAGTTTAGTTTAGAATCAATCATAGGTGGCTCAAATTTGCATTCGGCAGTATTCCGTCAGTTTTGATATTTATATCAAGTACTACCATATTCTGATTGGATCAATCTTATGTGATTTTATGCAGCTATTTTACATTACACGGTGTCACACGGGAATTATGTATGTTACCGAGCCGATAAAACAAAACAGTTGAAACATTTTCTTTATAAACTGACACCAGTCTTGGTACAAGGACTACAAGTAGTCAAAAGTACAAGTGAATCCTGCGTAAAAATACCAGTAGCTCACCTGAAATTTGATCGGTTTTTCATCATAATTTAGTTCCCTAAATCTAAATCTTATAAATGTTGAGAGCTTTAATGAATCGCAGACCATACCATATAAACTACCGTTTTGTAGGGCTACTGTGGATGGACTTACCGCAGTGAAGTTGTTACTGAAAATGACATGGATTTTTAAAAAAATGGAATTTGTATTGGAGAATCTACTGATACTGACAAGCGACATACCTTATTATACACATTGAACCATTCAGGGTGATGATTCATAACTTTGGATTTGTCTGCTATTTTTTTCATGAAGTCGAATGCTACATCAAAGTTTTTAAACATAAAAGAGCGTCGTATGGCCTCTCTAGAACCATGTTGGCACAACTCCCAATGGTGGATGTTTAGTAAAGGAGGAAGCATCTGTTCACGTTCTGGTTCCGTAAGGAGTGGCATTTTGCGCCTCTATTTCAATTTAAATATGAGAAAAGTGGAATATACTACAGAGGAGCTGAGCACCGCAGCGTTACGGAAATGCACGACATTAGTCGTAGTACCGCAATACTTCAGCAAAGTCGCCATAGTCAAATGGTTCGAATGGTTCAGGACGGAATACTAGAAGCGTTCGCCTAACGTGCTTTCATATCTAATAGCAATGGATCACCGATGCCTCTAGTTAGGAACCTAGGTATATTAATGATAAAAGAAGGAGAAGGAAAAATGTTGGTAAATCACTTTGACGCGCGCTATATAAAAAGGACAGTGGTATTTTTCCTCGCTGAGTAAATTTGTTTGTTTTGATGGTTTATTACGTACCAAGACTACTGTTTTCACTTTAATTAAATTCATTCCACTTAAAGTACCGTTTTTACCGTTCTCTTAATTAGTTTTTTCTTTGGTACTCCTGAGTACCTCATTTTCAATTGTATCTGTTAGTACTTTTGGTCCTAACAATCTACAGTTCTTCACTTTTTGGTCATTGATTGTTTTTTGTTTCTGAGTATCATCGCATCTCGTTCCTTTTTGAAAAGGACTCCTTAAATGATCAGGCAGTGTAAAAAAAAGCAGTTACCAACGTCCGGGTTGTCGTCATCCCATTGAAAGCGGCATGCAGTGCGACGAGTGCAAAAGCTGTTACCACAAAGTTTGCACGAACTTAACGCCTGCGGCTTTCAAACGGCTCAGTAAGAAGGGTTGCGTATGGCTTTGTCAACAGTGCTGTTCGGATGCGAACAGCCTGTTAACCGAGGCCATCTCACTGGTTGATGCGGCAAAGAAGTGTTTTAGCAAGCATAGTCGGAACGCGTCAAACAGCACTCGATTTGTCGACACGCAAATCAACGTGAAGGAAACTAAGGTTAGTTCAATGAAAGACGACTCACACCCGTCAAAGAAGGAAAAGCAGTCTCCAAAGGGGCCTGCCTTAAACAAAAGCTCAAGAAAAGTCGGGTCTTCTGTTCCCCGTCTCCCAGATGGGATCAAACAGAAAACACCTATAAGCCGCAATCGCGGTAAACATAACCCGATCTCTCAGGTCGTCAACAACCCCCCAAAATCCAACACTAGGTTTGACGCAACTGTTATTGCTTCTACCAGCACCGTTGACGAATGGGTACAGGTTGTAAGGAAGAAAAGTAGGGATATAAAAGGGAACCCTGTCCCCGTAAAAGTAGTTGAAAAATCGAAAGCTGATCATAGCGACAAATCAGCTATTTTTCATAGAATCAAGGAGAGCGAGAGCTCTGAACCTAAAGCTCGTTTTGAGCATGACATTGTACTGATTAGGCAGCTGCCTAATCAACTCATGCCTCGAAATATGACCGGGGTCACCTTGCTAAAGGTGTACAGACTAGGGAGTCTAGCGGACTCGAAACCAAATCATTCCAGACTGCTTAAAGTAGTATTCAGCTCTTCGAACGAACGTGACCTAATTTTGCAGAATGGACACAAATTAAAGGGTTCGGGAGTCTTTATCCGAAAGGACCTACCGTTGGCAGACCGTGTTAAAAGACGGGAAGCCGAGAAAGAACTACAACTTAGGTTAGACGCTGGCGAAAAGGACCTGAAAATTGTAGATTTTCGGGTTGTAATACTTCGACAGAGAATGATCTCGAAGCCACTTAAATAGAATTCGGATCTGCTACACTAATGCCCGGAGCTTACTTAATAAGCGATCGGATCTAGGTGTACAGATTTACTGTACAAAGCCAGACATAATCGCAGTTACAGAGGCCTGGCTGACACAGGCTATAGATAGTATGGAACTTGATTTCGAGGGTTTTACGTTAGTAAGGGCCGACAGAATACAAAAGCGTAAAGGGGGAAGTAGATCTATTCATCAGGAATGCTATCCCATTTGCCATTATCGACAGTGTATCCTGTGAGAGCGGAACATGTGAATTAGTCTCCGCTTGAAGTGCAAGGAACAAGAGCTGCTGATTGGTTTGGTCTATCGCAGTCCAAGCTGTGAAGTAAATGAAGTCCTGCTAAGCAGTCTCAATACTTGGTCACAAAGTGGTCAATGTCTAATCCTAGGGGACCTTAATGCACCTATGGTAGACTGGGAAAATCTGCGAACTGAATCGTCAGAAAATTCCTTCGAGCAGGAACTATTTGATGCCGTTATCACATGTACTTTAGTGCAACATGTGAAAGAAGCGACAAGGTACGATCAGGACACTAAATCATCCTTATTAGATCTTATACTGACTCACTATGAGGATGATGTTGCAAATCTACATTATATGCCACCCTTAGGTAAAAGTGATCACGCAGTTTAAGTTTTCGACATCCATATAACTGCCAGTCACGAGCACGCGTCAGTCCAGTTCAGACCCAGAAAGCAAACATACCAGACATCATGCACTCAGCATCGTTAATAGATTGGACAATAGACCCATAGTCCTCAATTGAAAGGGCCTGGGACGCATTTCGAAATTCGTACCTAAAAGTTACCACGCCTCACATCCCTTGGACTATACCAAGGGTATCGAGAAACTCCCCACCATGGTTCAGTAGGGAGGTCTGTATCCTTCTTCGTAAGAGAAGAAAAATGTGGGATAGATTTAGGTTACCAGGGACTGATGAGTCAAAATCTCAGTATCGAAAGGCTCGGAATACTTGTGCCTCGACCCTCCGTAAGTCTAGAAAATTGTACAAAGATAAACTTGTTAAGGAATTCATAGAATGTCCTAAACGCTTGTATTCTTATATAAACCAAAGGACAAGGAGAAAAGGAAATATTCATGCTCTATGGGGAGACAGTACTGCTTCATCATTAGCGGAGGACGACTTTGGTAAGACTCAAGTGTTCTTGAAATACTTTAGCAACGTATATACCATAGAAGCGCCCTTCCCGTCAGCGTATACAGACCGCCCCCTTACATACACTGGATAGCGTGACCATTAAAGAACTTGATGTCTTTGGTCTGCTAAATAAGCTTGACATAGGTAAATCCACGAAGCCCGATGAATTACATCCTAGGCTACTGAAGGAATTATCTAACTTCGTTGCAAGCCCTTTAAGTACATGCTTTAACCTATCCGTTACGCAGGGTCGTTTACCAAAAGACTGGAAAAACGCCATAGTAAGTCCTGTCTTCAAAACAGGTACGAAACACAAACCTGAGAACTACCGCCTCGTTAGCCTAACTAGTGTGGTTGTTAAAATCTTAGAAAATATTATTCGAAAGGAGCTGTTTAAGTATCTCGATAGAAACCGGATCCTCTCGGAGAAGCAGCACGGCTTATGAATAGGTTATTCTTGTCTCACTAACTTATTAGTGGCTCGTGAAAGCTGATGTCGCCTTCATTGATTTCAGTAAAGCTTTTGACAAAGTTCCGCACAACCGGCTGTTATATAAGTTAAGGAAAGTCGGGATTGGAGGCAATTTATTGATGTGGATAAAACACTTCCTAGTTGGGCGTCAACAAAGAGTAAGGGTGAACTCAAAGTTATCTAGCTGGGAAACTGTGCTTAGTGGAGTGTCCCAGGGTACAGTTTTGGGGCCAATGCTATTCCTCTTGTATGTAAATGAACTTCCTCGTCTCCTATCATCATCGGTATGGCTATATGCTGACGATGTCAAAATATGAAGAACGATACGGTGTGTTGGTGATAGCTAAGAACTCCAAACTAACCTGAAGAAATTATCTGAATGGTCTCAAACCCGGCAGTTGACGATAAATACTTCCATGTGTGTTGTGATGCATATCAATCATCAAGGTACAGATACATACACGATGAATAACACTGAGCTACCTGTCGTCCAGACATATCATGACTTTGGAGTTATCGTTAGTCAAGACTTAAAGACTACTGCACACTGCCGTACAATAGCCGCCAAAGGTTTTAGAACCTTATGGTCAATACGTAAAGCTTTTAGTCATGTCGACACTAAGACGTTTTTGACTTTGTATACAGTGTTCGTTCGTCCTAAACTTGAGTACTGCATACAAGCTGCTAGCCCCTGCTTAAAAAAAGACAGTGAGCTTCTGGAAAAGGTTCAGAGAACAGCGACTAAGCTGGTTCCCGGAATAGCGAAGCTTCCGTATGAATCTCAACTGACCAAGCTGAACCTTTTCCCGTTGTCATATCGCAGAACTAGAGGCAACTTGATTACAGTCTACAAATTGTTTAGTGATAAATTTGCACCTAACATGCCCTCATTTTTCTTGTCTTCCAAAGCAGAGAATTTACGAGGATACACCAAAAAGTTCACTAGCCGAGAACAAATTACTTGTCAGCTGACTATCGACTTTCCCATCGAAACATCAACGATTGGAACTCATTACCTCAGCACGTGGTTGAGGCTTCATCCATCGATTCTTTCAAAAGAAAGTTGGATCAACCACCATTATCAGGACTAACACAGGCCATCAGGCCTCCTGTCCTTCCCAAACTAAAACTGATAATAAGGTACCGTTCTTAGTCCTTAGGAACAAGTCAAATTTTCCCTTAAAGGACTTCTATGAAGTCACTTGGACTAGCTCACCTGGCAACAAATTCCAGCATTTGACTGCTTTTAAGGGGTGGAAGGCGTCCCGACAGTCCGTTCTGCTATGTTGTGTCTATAGTGTCTGGATGCTACTCCTAAAATTTGTGTTGGGACTGGGTTTAAGTAGGTATGTAAGGAAATGGCCAGAAGTGTTCGGGGTGCTGTAGGTCATTAGCTCAGCTATGAGACGCCTATACTCCAGCGGGCAAAGTTTCAATGATTTAGGTTGCATTCCATAAGGCTCGAATTCGAGTCCTCGAACTGATTTCTTGGCTCGTCTTTGGATACGTTCCAAAGTGTTCCTGCCTCTTCGTAGTAGGGGAGAAAATACCATGTTTTCATACTCCAAATATGGCAGAGTAAAACTTTTGAAGGTTAACTGAAGAGTTCTGCCGTCAAACTGGTCAATAACAGGCTTCAATGTAACCGGTGCAAGGTTTACTTGAAAGGCATTTTGTCGCCATTCGCCCAAGACTTTAGATCGTTGGGTAATAATACTACTAAATATTTTTCAACTTGAGATTCCTTTAGGGATGGGTTACCTGATTTGTATGCATAGTCTGTAACATGTATCAGATGAACCGC